CTTTAGTTAATTTATATTCTCTAATATTATCATTTATTTTGTAAAGAATGTGTCAATAGTGATTATTTCTTCGGGTGAAGATTTAATTCTACCCTGGCCCCAGTATGGAAATTTTTTACACCAATAAAGAAAATTAAAGGGACTTATCTACACTTTTTAAGTGTAGATTGTAGAATAATTCAAATATTTCAACCCCATCAGCTGAAATCTAAAAAAACATATGAAGATAAAAATATGAATCCAGACTAAATTTTGATAGAATTTTTAAAAAAATTTGACAAGGAACTAAATGAAGATTCTTGTGAATAGGATATAATAGGTTATTTGAATTCTTTAAATTTAATGAATTTTACCAATTTAAAATTTTAATTATTAAATACAATACAATCCTCCCATCCCCTGCTGAACGTGTGTTTAGCACAGTGTAAGCTAGACTCTTATCCCATCAAAATTTTAAAAATCAATTGTTAAAATAAATAAAAATGATTATAAAAAAAATTTTATAATTTCATTTTTATTATCTAAAGGAAAAAAATAAATTTTAAAATCTATATATAATATTTAGTATTTTTTAAGTAACTAGCAACTCGCTACCTTTTTGAATAACAAGCTATGCATTCCTTTTTTAACAAGGTAACGAGTAACGCGTTTTTTCAAACGATGTCGTTTTTTTTAAAGTAAAAAATTATCCATATATTTTACAAACAATATGCATTAACATTTTGTGATCTATTGCGTAATCTGGTTTATTTTTGTAACGAAATAAACTCGGGCATAATATTTAGTGAATTAAATTCAAATATTATCTTTTTTAAATACAAATATGTAAATATATTTTTAATGATATCTATATCTAGATATTTTAACAACTCTATTAATTAATAAAATATGGTTATAAAAAAAATTATAATTATTATTTTTATTTAGTACTGGTCCAAACTAAGCAATAACTTCGGATTTTAAAAAAACTTATAAAAAACGAAATCTATATAAACCCAAATTTTTTATAAAAAAAAATAGAGTGCTAAATACCCCATATAACCTGTCAAAGGCTAGTGAATTATGTCATTTGATAAATCATTAATAAACAATTATGTATGTATAAAAACCAGAAAGCTGTGAGTTAGTCTCATGAGATCAATGATATTGCATAATTGGTGGGGTGGGGAGGGGGGAAGAAGTGGCTTTTCTTTATATTATCAAAAAATAATATGTAGGAGAGACCGGGATAAAACGATTAGTAATTTGCATTTTTACCATAATATTTAGAAAAATTAACAAAACAGAACAAATTATATATTCATATGTAGTCAAATCCCTCATCTACAAAATAAAAAAAAGTGTAACTCTCTACCTATGTTACTTTAGGAGCGGTGATCAAAAATTTATATTTTATTTTGTCATTTAAGGTAGACGTACGTAATTTTTGTGTGAAGTGGTTAAATATTTATTTCAAAAGGAAATTTAAAAAACTAATTTAAAATCTAATTATTTTAAATAAACTATAATTATTTCAATTTTGGATAAAATAATATATATTTTTTTAATATAGTGATATAATTAATCTTGTACTTGGATAGAATAAAAATATAAAACAACGACAAAATAAGATTTAAAATAAATCAAACAAAATCAAGAGGAGAATGAATTAATGGAAATTTAATTTATTTACCTGAATTGCAAGCCTTTGATGAAAATAAAGCCCTTCTTTTGGGCCCTCTTTTTATATCAAAATTCATCAGCTTGAAGACTAAAATTGTAAGATTTGTCATTATGACTGGAACGAATTAATATTAATCAAACATTATCTATGTATTTTTCGCATCGCAATTTTTATGTCTATATCTATGCTTAAGTGAGCCAAATGGTCAATATTGCAAAAAACACCCCAAGCTAGGACTAGCTGTGTTAAAGTAACTAGTTTACTGATAACTAGTTACATTTATGAAAGAATAGCTGTAACTAATATTTGAAAAATTGTAACCAGTAACTGTAACTAGTTATATTTTTTGGAATGTAACTGCTAAAAATAACTAGTTAATTTTTAAAATATTCATATATATTATTATAAATATATTCAAATAATTAATTTTATTTTTTATATATCATATATAAATTAATTTTAAATGAAACCTTTTAATTTCAAGTTTTAATCATCTGAATCAGTATGCTGATCTTTTTTATATAGTTAATATATTGATAAATGAATCAGTCAGATATCGCATCCTAGCCATAGCCTAGATTTTGCTAAGGAAAAGGATTTCCTCATAAATTTTATTAATAAGTTAAGTTATATTTTTATAAAAATATTTTGGTGTTTCACTTTTTTTCTAAAAAATTTAAATTGTATTCGTTATTTTAAAAAAATTATTAACTTTTAATTATTTTTATTTCAAATTCTTGGTATAGTGTGATACATTGAATCTATTTTGGGGAGAAATGGGAGTGGTGGTGTGTAAGGGGGAAAATTTTATTAGCTTAAAATAATATTTATGAGAGAACAGAAAAGTTTCAATATCTCCAATGTAGTGTGGATAAAAGACCCAACATGGATCGATTTTTAAAAAGGTCCTGATTAAGATTTTAGCTAAAATAATATTATGTAGGCTTGGAGATTTTCTTGATGGGCATTTCCGAAAAAGAATATATCATTCTTGTTCTAAATCAATTAAAGTGGAATCATAATTTGTAGCCCGGCACGGGTACGACGGGTCGTATTTTAATTTTTTAAATATAAAACCCGGACCGCCGAAATAAAATTCGTGCCAAGCCAGGACGTGTAAATGGTACCTCTGCAGGTCTTTAATTTAAACTTCAATCGAGAGTATGTGATATCAATTTTTAAAATATTAATGGGCTTATAATATCTTAAAAAATATTTAAATGGTCAATTTTTAAAATTTCCATAAACAATTTAACCAGAAATGTACTTCAACATGTGTAGTATACTGTGCGCCGACAACATGTTAAATATTTTTCTAACTTAAATTTTTTTAAATTAAAATTATAAATAATTGGAAACACTTTTAAAATAAAATTTATGCTTTATTATGTTTATAACTATAATTTAATGATTTTATTAAGTTATAATTATCATTATCATGTATAAATATTATTTTATTTAGATTTATAGGACATAATAATGATCTTTTAGAGTTCAAAGTGAGCAGGAAAACACACTCGCTGGGTGTGCTCGTAGTTGAAACGCACAGTACCTATCTAGAAAATATTTAATGTTTAGGAAGATCCAATGCTCTTATTTTCCAAAAATCTAAGTCATCTTTTATCTCTAAATTATAAGGCGAAAATAATGAATAATACTCTTTTTCTAGACTAGTTAAATAGTCGTGTTATTCCAGATTATTGTTATGAATAGAGAATGTATCGTAGTCAATGACGGAAGATAATTGAATTCTGAAGCAACTTCCGTTGTTTAACATTCAGTTAATTCGTCGGTGTAAGGCAACAAAGAGGTAGCGTGTTGACATAAAAATTGCACCGGAGTAATATTTTTTTCCTTTAAATATTCATTTACTATGTTTATAGATTGAGAACTAGGATCCAAAAGTACTCCTAACACCTAAGTAAAAAAATAAAAGAAAGAGAAATAATATATAAAAAATAATTTATGTATTTTAAAATACTACGTGAAGATCGGTTATTAGAAATCATGATCAAATTTAGTAAGCATATTTTGTTTTAGAGATGCTATGGGAGGACTATCATATTCTTTTACAATTAAATGATTTTTAATTTCACTACGAAATAATAAGGATAAATTTATAGTAACTCCTTTTTTGATGGATAAAAAGGTTTTAAGAAAATTTAAAAGTTCCTGCACCAAGCCTCAATCGGAGTTAAATAATTTGAAATCCGGTTTCTCCATTCTATTTAATAAAATATTTATAGGATTTTTGTTAATTTTAAATTTTATTTAGATATTTCTTCTTTACATGATAGGTCATGTAAATGTCATTATATTTGATGTGATGATATTTTTTGAAAAAGATTTGATTGGATAACTAATTAAAAAATTAGCAAATTTTTTAAAAATAATGAAAAATTTTACTCTGAAAATGAAGAATTATTTTCATCCACACTATCTTTATCAAGTGCTATTTGTAAGCATATATTACAAAAGACTTTATCTGCAGCAACACTGGTTCTCTTATTAGTTGTGTGAATTTTTAATATTAAGGATCCAAAATGTTTCCATGCAAAAGAATGTTTTGCTTACAATGATATACATCCATTATAATTGAGTCCTGCTATGTTTTATAAGTTATAATGGCAATAAAATAAAAATCATTAATTAAAATATACTTTTAAAAAATAAATATTATATGATGAGTTGTAGATTGCATTAAGAAAATATTGTATTACCCCTTATATAATAATTGAAAGTCTTATACAAAATATTTGAAACATCAAAAGTTAAAAGAATAAAATATATAATAATATTTCAATACCTTTTCTGTAAATTACTAGCCTAATTTTATCTTACCTAGCACGTTGGTCAACAAAGATCTCCCAAAGTGTGCGAACATGTATTATATGGATTGTTACAAATCAAATGTTTTTATAGTAAATAATATTTAATTTTAAAAAATAAAATAGCAATTTTTAATAATTCAAACAGTATTTAATATTATTTTTCTTCTATTTATAAATAATATAAAAAATAAATATTATTTTTAATAATAATAAAAATGTATCAGGCCGCCACGTAGCTGAATTTTTACATCGGTGGCGGCTTGTTGAACGCCGACACTTTTTGGCGGTGGCGGTGTCTTCTTGGTCAAAAATCAACGGCGGCAGTGTATTTAACCTACGGCACACATGTCTAAGTATACCTACTCTATTAATTTCTGATAATTTTGCTATAAGATTTTTGTATTTCCTATATGAAAAAGCAATATAAATTAAGAGTAGAGTTCAGTGTGGGTACTCTATAGATGCTAAAGCATTACTGGTAAACCAGACTAAATTTAGAACTGTCTTTATTAAAGGATTTAAATCAAAAGATTCCAAATTCAAATGGATTTCAATATGACATATAAATAAATATAAAATAAAATTGATTTATAAAACTCTTAAAATAAATTTATAATGGCATTGATTATATAATGCAGTGATAAAGCATCCGTAGAAGCAAGGGAAGCATTTATAATATATAAAAGAAAAAAACCATGATCACAGAATGTATTTTGATGTAATTTTTTTTATCATGATTAAAAAAATAAACTTTGGGCAACCAAATTAAAAATTACTTATTTTTTTAATAAATAAAATAAAGATATATTTATATGATTTTCAAAAAATGTCCCGAAAAAACTTTACAAAACTTAAAAATGAAATCAAAATTGCTTTTACCTAATTTTGGCTTCCATAACTGCAAATTCTGAGTTGGGATTATTTAAAGAGTAAAAATTTTATTGATCAAAAGTTTAAAATCTAAGAAGTTTTTAAGAATTTATTCAAAAAAAGGTGAATTTTGATTTATAATTTTTAATATTTTGTATGGTTTGGTTAAAAAAAAATTCAATTGTAAACTTCATGCTTTATCATTGATACATAATGCTATTATAATAAATTAAATTCTTTTGCAATATCTATCATTTTTGTAATAATGCTGGCATCAGGAAGTGAATAGTGGTCAAAGTTTTCTTTCTTTTCTTTGATAAATAATTATAAAAAGAAGAATGATTGAATTACCTGATAATTTCTTTACCCTACATGATGAATGTAATTCTTGGCATTTTGTTGCTGTTAAAATTTTGGCCAAATTGTTCCTATCAATTCCAGATGCCAGTACAATAATTGGCCATTTGATGTTATCAGAAGTTTGACTTGTTTTTTGTATTAATTCAGTAAGTAAATTATTTCCTTGTAAGGCAGTGTCATAACATCCACTAGTTAATATTCTATCAAACCCTAATAAGGCTATTGAGTCCAAAGCTTGTAAAGGATTCTTGACTACATCAAAAGCCCTATGAAATGTAGCTGACACTGGATGACATACATTAATTAAGGTTTTATTTATTTCCATGTCAACTTCTAAATTTTTGGTTAATACACCTATTCAATATATTAAATAAATTTCTATAAAATACTTTTTAACCAAATACAAAACCATCAGCATACATTTCTTTAAAAATTTTAATATCTTCTTTCATAGATTCAATTTCTAACTGGTTATAACAAAAATTACCCTCTCTTGGTCTTATCATTATAAATATAGGAATTTTAATTAATGATTTTATAATTTTGAACATGCCAATGTTAGGGGTTAAACCATCCAATTCTAAAGCTGAGCATAATTCTATTCTGCTTGCACCATTTTTATAAGCAATAAGGGCAGATTCAATGTTATCTACACAAATTTCCATTTTTCAGGTTTAATTTTTGAAAGATTGGAAAATATGATAGTTGGATTGATTGTCACTTTCTGACATTTACAAATTGTATTTATTTATAATTATACCATCATCTGTCATAGATATATCTGTGCGCCGAAATCGGTAACAGCGGCTTTGTAAATTCTATCGGCGTTCATGATGCGCTGAATAAGCCGCCGCCTACTCTATGGGATGTCGAAAGTGAGAGGAGGGGACTATTTACTCTCATTTTTAGGGGGCATCATATGCATACAAGGGGGAGGGGGTTTAGGGGTGCAGGATACATTTATAAGGGGTTTACCAATAAAATTATTATATGACATAGGGAAAATATAATAATGTAAAAAAAAAATATTTTAATGATCAAATTGTGTTGATAGGAGGATGTTTTTCCTAAATGAACAAGATTAAAGGCAAAAAGTTCATATTTTAATATCCTTCATGTTTTAGGAAATTACTAGTGGTTTGTTGTGGCCCTTTACTAGAAGCATAAGAAGTGCTTGTGATTTTACATTTTAAAAAAAATTGGATTGAATATTGACCTTCTACTGATACTGAATGTAAGTTGTATTTGAAGAGCATATTGAGTTATCGTCAGAATCCAAGGTAAAAGATTCAGAATCACTCATGTTTCCCTAAAAAATATGAACAAAATTTTGCAATTATTGATGTTTTAAATATGAATGAATGATTACATATTAAGCGTTTTTCATAAAGATTAAATAAGAAAGGAATTATAACTGTTAATTTTTAATTACATGTCTGAAAAAATGCAATTAAATATAATCACTAACTTCTTAAGATTAAATTAACTACTAATTAAAAAAAAGGTGTTGTAATTATGGAATAACTCATGCAATTAATTAGACCAAACTTTATTATTCAGTCCGATGGAATAAAATGCTATATTAATAATTTATAGTGTTGCCAATCTTGAGGAACTTACTTATTAATTTTGGGGTATTATAAATATATCTATTTACATTTAAAATTGTTATTCCATTATATCTTAAAAAATAAGTTAATTATTTTTATAAATACGATACTTTAAGTAAGGTTTAAAATAAATATATTATTCTTTCCTGCTAATCCTTCAAAATTTTGTAGAATTGAGTTTAAAATTTTATAAGAAACTTTTTAATTAAAGAATTTTAAAAAACCATTTAATTTTAAGTTTATCAAACCTAAGGTATATTTTGCAAATTTAATGGTCATTACAATTTAATATATTATAATAAATAAATCCTGTTCATATCTTGTAAATAAAATCTCCATAACAAAAATCTATAAATAAAAATAATAATTTATAAGATATAATATAAATTAGAATTTGTTTTTAAATGATAAATAATAATTATATAGAATAAAAATATGATTATTTCTTCTTTTAGCTGAATGCAAAGGTATATAATTACATCATTTTTTGAAAAAATTAAGGTAAATATAATATAACTAGATCTGAGTAACTGTAAAATTATGTTTTGAACAAGGTAACTTATTAATGTAACTATTTATTTTTGAAAAGTAAATACCAACACTAACAATTTTGTATAAATAATGTGTTCTAAAATTTAAATATTCTATTTTACTTTAATCACACACATAGTAAAAAACAATATTTCACAATCAACATATAAATTAAAATTTGCTATAATAAAATAAATGTATAAAGCCTTAATTATTTAAATTTAATAAATTTTTGACATGATTATTTTAATTTTAAACATAATGATTAAAATTTAAAAAAAACGATTTAAGAAATTAAATTGAGCAATATTTTTTTTTTGTTCTTTCTAAATGCAAACGTCAGGAAGAGTTTCAATACAAACAGCTATTCCCATTCCACCTCCTATGCAAATATTGTTTATTTTATAAAAGAAACGAAATAAGAAATAACTTACAATTTTATAATAAATCTTAACTATATTATGGATATTTTAAAAAAAGATTTCGTAAAATTAAAATCAAGATATTTTAAAGTTAAACAAAACCGATGCAAAGAGCGGCCAGACCCTTTAAAGGTTTAGTGGGTTCAATTTTCTGGAGTCGATTCAATGAATGAATTAGAGTTACCATTATACGAGCCCCAGATGCCCCTATGGGGTGACCTAATGCTAGAGCGCCCCCATTGACATTGACCTAAGAAAAATTATTCATTATTTGTAAAAGAGGATTGAAATAATTAATAGAAAATGGATTTTAAATTATTGGAACAAGCTGAATTAAATAAATAAAAAGTGTATTTTAAAAATCTAATGAAATATCCCATTATTCTCGTTTAAACAAAATACATTATATTCGCGATGTCTTGAATGGTAAGTAATTTGAATAAACTAAATATAAATTTATGATAACAATTACAAATATGGTTAAATAAATTGATATTGAAAAATAACCTTCTCTGGTGATATACCCAATTCTTGAATAACAGCGATCGATTGTGATGCGAATGCTTCATTAAGTTCAAACAAATCTATTTCATCTAATTTCCATTTAGCTTTTTCAACCTATAAAATTTATAAACCCTAATAAAAATCATTATTTCTTTCATATCAAAATTTAAACGAATGAAAAATATAGCTACCAAGAAAACGATATACTTGAAAAAATAGTAATAATTTCTTTTTATCAAATTGTTAAAATTATTTTCTTCTATGAACTGAGATATTTTTAGGCAACTGTTAGTTAGTTACCTTCCTCAATTCAATTTATGTTAATAATTATAAACTTTTTCCCATAAGATTTTATTTCAACTGCGATAAAAATATGTAAATGCCGAGTACTAGAGATTTGTCGGGCCGGGCCTATTTTTTTAAAAAGAAATCGGGTTTGGGCCTAATATTTTTAAAAAATTCGGGCAGGGTCAATCTTGGAAATTTTTTTAATATATCTAAATTTATCAATTTTATAGTGAATTTTTAATGTAAAATAAAAATATTTGTTTTTATTTATAGAAACTAGACGCCATATAACATATATCTTTTATTTTGAGTAATTAAAAATTAATTTCTATATTTAAATAAATTCGGGCCAGGCCGGGAGGTAAATTTTAAAAAAAAAAATTTGGGTTCGGGCCGGGCCAGCAAAACTTTTAAAAAAATATTTTGGATTCGGGTTGGGCAGGCAAAATCTTTAAAAAAAATAGGCCCGATGCAGATCACTACCGAGTACGGTTCTTATGTTTTTATAAAACCGGAATTGATTACGTAAATAAAGCTATTTGTAAATTTATCTACCGCTTTTTTAACAGCACCGACAGGCGCTATTCCCATGATAGAAGGATCTACTCCGTATTCCGCACAAGCTACGATCCTAACTAATGGCCTTAGGTTTGATTCTATGGCTTTATTTAGGCTCATCAACAACACGATGGCTGCCCCATCGTTAATACCTTTAATATTTATAATATTGTTAAAAGATTTAAATTTTTTAATTAGGGATACACGATTCTAGATTTTTCTGTCATTCCAATATAAAAATATTTTTGCAAATACAAATACTTTGTGTTGTTAAAAGCCGATTTTTCAAAGCAGCGAACGCAATATTTTATCCAGAAACATATTACGCACGCCTCAAAATTTTGTTCATAGGTAATACAACGATTTAAAGCCCCATTAGCGAAATCTCGATGCTTAGGCAATCTTTTCCTGGTTAAAACATTGAGTTTTTTTTTAAATTAGGCTCAAATCGAACAGTTTAACAATATTATCAAACCATCCGATTCCTTGATTTTATATTTTGCTATGGAGGCTAAAACCTGTCCCAAATGTAGAAATTTTTGAAAACACTTTTTCATCCAGCCGTAATTTGTAATGCCTTTTACAAGTTGTCCAGCCTGGCGAAAAATTTTTTATGAAGGTAAAAAAACACAAATTTGAAGAAAATATTTTTTGACTAAAGAGATGGTACCAATACAACTTTTTTAACTGATGATAACACAGTATTGACCAAGTATATTTATTAATTAGTCAATATCATGGTTTTTTATTTATAATTAATTTAATTTATAAAAAAAAATTCCCACAATCATGTATATCCCATCTATAATCGAGATAACATGTATTGTAGGTCTTTCACTCAAAGTCCTAAATCCTACATCTTTTCAATCATAAGTACCATGTCATCAATATGGATGTATTAAAACATCTAGAAGCCAAGTCTCCCCCATTAGCAGGATATCCCACAATTTTTTAGCTAAACAGGCAGAGATCTCCAACCCACAATTGAAAATCCTCCGCATTGTAAGTTTTTAATTTATAAATAATAATTTTGAGAAACACTATCTGGGTAATTTTTATTTTATAAATAAATTACAAAAATTCGTTTGTTTTATTAAAAGTGCAAATTATTTCCTGCAGCCAAATAAAGAAATTTCAAAATTTTCCCTCTTTCTATTGGATGCTAATTTTTGATAAATATTTTACATCCAATAACCCAACAAACACAAAAGATATGCCCAACATATTATCTTTATCTTGATTTAAAGCAGAAAACACAATTGTAGAAGAAATCTACTAGTATGATCTTGATATTTATCTTGTCTTAGCACTTTCTTGAATCTTTTAATCAAGAAGAATAACATATTACCAATTTGGAAAAATATTAAAAAAGCATACTGACTTTAAGTATGATAAAGTAAAATTTATAAGAATAAATGAGTAAAGGGTTAAGATGGCATTTTCATTAACTTGGAGAAAGGCTGGAACTTCAATCTAAAATTTGACCTGGCAAACTTTTCCTGGATCGGGCTGGACAAATTTTTCCAAAATAATTTTGAGATGGATTTGGTTTGGAAAAAGGCCCGCAGATCACTCATATTATAGGCTTTAAAATACATACGGCCCCACCAGTAAAAATATTTAACACAAGTTGTCCTGTCTGGTCTCCAAAAATCATTTTTCCCTGGCCGGTGCAGTGACACTAATACTTGTGCTCAACTAAATATCTTAGAAAAAAAATACTAAACACTTTATTTGACTATTTTAGAAAGTATTTAATATTTAAATTTTAAAATACTAAAATAAATTGTATTTATTAAGATTTTACAACTTTCAGTGGAATACAACGACAAATAATTTTTTTATTTTTTTAAATAAAATTATAAAATGTAAATTCACATTTATTTACTTAAATATTAGATTTGTGATTTGAGTTAGCCAAAAGTAGGGCTGTGCCGTTGGATTGGCACCGATATTTAGCGTTTTCCAAAAATATCGGGTCGGGTCGATACTTGTAAAAAACCGATCCGATCTTTTTACTTTTCATTTTTTTGTTATTTTATGATATGTATATTTATTTTACATTATTATAATATTTTCTAAATAATTTTTTTTCCTAAATGCAATGCAAATGCACAACACCCTCTAAATTTTATTTCTTTTTTTAAATAGATTTATAGTATTTTAGAAGTTTTTTATAAAAATAGAAAGGAACACCCAGTTTATTTATTTTAAATAACGCCAATTTTATTATTTATACTTTAAATTAGGGATGTAGCGATATTTATATCGGATCGGGCCGATATTTCACCTATCTTAAAATATCGGTTATCGGCAAATATTATAAAATTTCCCGATCCGATCCGATAAAAAATGGCGTTTTTAACAAAAATAAAATATTATAAAATTTTTAAAGAAAGTTATATCTAAAAACCTTTTATTTATATAAATAAAATCGAAATCCATTTTTATGTTTAATTTTTTTAATAGTAATAATTAGTTAATAAACATTCTGCCATATTGTTATTTTTTTTGCATTCTGTTTATAAAAGTGTATAATCTCTTCAGAATCTTTTTTAGTGAAGCTAGTGATATAGTCTCCATCACATTAAAATATATTTTGGTATAGTTAAATTATAGATGCTATACTAAAGAAAAGTATATTAAAAATTAAAACCATTGGTAACAGAATAAGATATTGGATCGGTAATCTGCCGATATCATTTAATATCAGATCGGCCTCCAAAAAGTGGTATCAGTACACCCCTACTTTAAATAAAAGATTTTTTTTTTAAATATGGTATCTGAATTATGGAAATATTTTACAAAAGACAAAGATAATTTTGCAAAATGCGTTATCTGCGGAATCATCTGAGTCTGCCTTTAGTACGGCAAGGGATATATATCGTAGAAGCTTATTGCCAGAAAATCTAGAGGCTCTCATATTTATTAAAAAATATATATTACAATTTTATAATTCATACCAACATAAAATGGATATATTATTAAATATTTTTTTTTAATTATAATCTTAATTGTAGAAATAAAAAAATTAAATTAAATGCATAATACGGTTTTTTGCATAAAAAAATTGATTTCTTAATTACATTTGTTTCAATGGAAAGGGGGGGGGGTGAAAAATCAGTATAAATATTGGATCGGTTTCGGATCTGATTTTAAGCAATATCGGAAATTATCGGTTCGGATCGGATCGGGGAAAAATATGTGGATCGCCACAGCCCTAGCCAAAAGATTAATATTTAATTTTAAAATGATTATTACCCAAAAATACAAGTTTTTTTAAAGATGAGGAAGATATAATAGTAGAAAAAAAGGGTTTCTATATTAGGCTATTATGTTTATAAGATGTTTTTGCAGGGATTATAGGACAATGTCAACAACCTCTAAATTAATTTAACAATTTTGGATAAATTTATTTTTTAACATATTATTAAAACTTAATAATATAATGAAAGCTAAATGTAATCTCTTCTCAACTAAAAATAAAATCAAAATCATAGAAGCAATTTAATCCCCGTGCAATTTTTGCTCAGCAAAAATGTGAATATATGAAACATTATTTGATATGCAACGGTAACAACAATAATGAATTATTTATAATGGTTGTATTACTGGTAGTATTTATAAAATTATTAGAATCTTAGAAAAACGCTAGTATTTAAGTTAAGAAAAATGATAATGGTACTATAAAAATTGACTTGCAAAAAGTATTAGTCAAAGTATTTATTTGTGCAGGAAGTATTCGAAGTATTTGCATTTAAACTAAAAAAAAATGTTTTTCTATAGGTACTTAATATTTATATTTAAAATACATTTTTAAAAAGTACTCAAATATATTTTTTTGAAAATTTGACAAGCCCTACCATTGGTCCAGGCTTTCAGACATTTGAATTCCATTTAGTGAGAAATATTGTCATGGAATAAAGTTTTTAATATAAAGTATATTAATTTTTCATAATAACTTTTTTTAGAAACCTGAAGCATTTCCTGCAGTTACTGTTCCACCCTCTTCACTTTTTATAAATACAGGCTTTAGTTTATTTAACTCTTCAATTGTGCAATTTATTTTTGGATGTTCATCTTGACTGATTTTTATTGCTCCTTAATTATATATATATAAATATAATACAATTTGGAAAAAAAATTTAGTGTTGCAAGAACACTATTTGTTACTTTAAAATGATAAGGAGTAATGTGTTTCTCTCTTTTGTGTAAAGGAAATGTTACATTAAATTTATTTTTAAAAAAGGTTTTATTATATATTATTTTAATTTTATAAATAATTTAAGCCAACTTTTTAATCCAGATCAACCACCAAAGTTCTTCATTTTTATTTTAGCAAATTTGTGTCTTAACTTCTGATTTACGATTAAGGCTTTACCCATATTATAAACAATAATGGATATTCCAAAAAAAATTTTGGCTTAATCTTTTATAAATTTATATACAATGTAAAAACTTTGGTAAAGCTATCGCCTCTTAAAAATATGTATTTTTTACCAAAAATTAAAATTTTCATTTGCATAAAAGATAGAGTTATAAGAAATTACAGATTATGATTAAAATTTTGTTGCTAACTTACCAATAACAGGATAATTTTGGTTTTTACTTTTTATATTAAAATATTTCGAATGTCTAGGCCATTCCATTTCAAATCAATCAATTATTATATGATAATTTTTTTAGAAATAGTTTTATATAAGATTTAAAAAATGTAATTTCTTGTAAATATTAATTTTAAAAGGGGTTAGACTATTAGGTGGATTTTTTTACTTAGTTTCATTTATTGTGGACCTGGGCTCATGTTTAATGCATTTTGAATGATAGTTGCTATTCTAAAAATTTTTTATCTTTTACTTTTTCTTTCAAATAATTTATAGTGATATATTGTATAAATTTCTGGTTGGGAGCAGTGTTGTTAAAAGCTATTTTCGTTTCTAATTAGTGAGAGGAGGGGGGGGGGGTTAACCACTTTTCAACACTTGGTTATGGGCTGAATTGAATATAATAGCCAAATAATGGTATAGTTTGTAATTTAATTATAGTTATCAAATATGTGCTAGATCATATATTAATATTCAAATTTAATATGATTAAAATACTATATATTAGTTTCTTAATTTATACCTTTTCTAGATGGAATCTCTATTGTTAGCATTTCATCATCAAAATATTTATTATTATGTGCTAATTGATATTTCAATTGAGATCTTAAAGCAAACTCATCTTGCATAACTCGTGATATGTGGTATTTTTTTGCTACATTTTCTGCTAAACCAAATTTTAAATCACTAATTATTTAAATTATACCAGTGACACCCATATGAATATTATTGAAAGGATCTGTAAGCCCATCTTTGATTATAATATCATTAAATGTAGTATCACCTAATTTCACACCATTTCTGATATCTGCACTATATGGTGCCTAATAAATTTTATACAAACATTGAGAATAATGTTTAACTTTGCTCATAGATTCCTGACCTCCAGCTACAATTATCCCATCATTATCCAGTTTTAAGGAGTTATAGGCTAAACTAATAGATTTTAAACCTGAGCCACATACCATATTGACCAAATATGCTGGAGTTTCATAAGGTATACCAGATTTAACACTAGCTATTCTTGATGGATTTTGCCCTTGACCTACATATTGAATAAAAATATATGAAACAGTATAATAACCTGCTGTTAATACTTGCCCTATGATAACTTCTGAGATTTTAGCAGGGTTTAAATTGCATTTTTTTAAAATTTCCTTGATCAAAAAAACACTCAAATCGGCTGCTGAAAAGGATGCTAATGCTCCGTTTAATTTACCTATTTTAAGAAAGTTTGAAATATATAATATAAAATATTGTACCAACTGGCGATCGTAAAGCGCTTACAATCACAATCTCTGTAGGATCTCGCATTTTTACGAAATACACGTGAAATTATGATTTAGGTGCCATTGATCGTAAGAGACTTTATCGTAAAAGTTTCATCTATTTTAATGATTGGTCTATTACCTTAAATTCATAGTGATCGCAAACTTCTTTCTTTTTATTTACAATAAAAACTGATTTATGGATTAATATATACAAATCAAGCATTACATATTGGGGCACTCTATTTAGTGCTTCATAATTTTTCTTCTAGCATGATGCTAATCTAGGCAATTATTTTATATTTTTCTAATAATATGTATTTCTTAAAAAGTCCAGGTTAAAGCCCTAAGATATACTAAATACGCACTAATTATTTATATAAGAGTTAATATATCTAAAATTTTGGCTGACTACCCTTAAGGCGTGTATTATACTTTGGTTTGTAATTCAGTTATCATTTGGCTGGCGAAATTAATTGATGAATTAATAAGTAAGGCACTAAACATTAACGCAAACCAGCTATTTGGTACATCTATATTTTTCTTCTGGCTTGCTGCCAATTTTTACAATTTTTTTCTAGTTTGAAAAATAATATTCTCCTTTTTAATTCATTTTTAAACAGAATAAAACAATAAAATATAATAAAGAATAATTTTGGTTTGGTAGTTGGCAATAGTCAGTGACCCCTACAACGGGGGGGGGGGGGGGTCCGAAGCAACTGCTTCTATAAATTTCTATGGGGGTACTTTTTTTTTAAATTTTTTATTTTAAAATTTTTTAAAAATAATTTTTTTATTTTTTTTTTTAAAAAATATTTATGGTCGATGTTTAGCAAATTAGTTTGTTATAAGATATTTTTTATCATAAAATTATTTTTCCACTTTCAAGATTTGACGCAAAATTAAAATTTTATCAAAGTGAATAGTAAAAATTTAAATATTAAATCTTATATATAATCATTTATAATTTTTAGATCATTGTCAAAATATGCCCAAAAATATTAACCAAAAAAAATATAAATGCTTATCTCGCAATCAAGCCTTCTGGGGGAACAGGCAACAAGATGGCAATATGATGAGCCTTATTAAACTTATTGCAGATTCTGAGCCTGTTCTTAAAATGTATATAAAAGATAATGAAGAAAGAAGAAGTGAGAAAAAAATTAAGGGATTAAAATCTAAATTATATTCAAATCTGTTATCATATAATAACATAAATATTCTTATTGAAACCATGAAAAATATGGTTATAAAAAAAATTCAAAAGGAGATTGTATTCAACAGGTGCTATTCAATTATAGTTGATGGCACATATGATGTATCGAAATCAGAAGCAATAGCTTTGATAGTGAGTGAAAATAGCGAGACACCTAAGCCCGTTGAAAGGCTGATAGACATTTATTGTACGGGAAATACAACGGACCTCGATATTAAAAAGAATATAATATCCAAGCTTGGCTCCATGAATCTACCCCTCGAATTCCTAGTGGGGCAAAGCTATGATGGCGCCTCAAACATGAGTGGAAGAATTAATGGAGTGCAGGCTTTGATTAGAGCGGAGGCGCCAAAGGCAGCTTTTATTTGGTGCTATTGTCATCGATTAAATTTAATAGTTGTTCAATTATGCCAATCAGTAAAAGAGCTGCGAAATGTCTTGGGAATATTAAACGAAATTTACGTATATTTTAATGGTGTTAAAAGATATGAAGTACTCAAAACATGTCAGAGTGATTTACTGACAAAATCACATAGATTTTTACGCATCAAGAATACCACTCGGTAATATTATCTTAATTGTTTCGATATATAATGTTTATTTTATATTTATAGAAGCTGGCTAACATCATATAAGGCGATTGTAATTTTTTTCCTACTTTATGATGCTTTGAGGGCAGCTTTGGCAAATTTAAAGGATTCTGAAGATCCTGCCACTTCCACTATGGCTAGTGCTATAGTCTATAGAATAGAAAAATTTGATTTTATTTTATCACTATGTGTTTTGGATAAAATATTGTTGCTAACAAGCTTGGCTTGTACAAAATTGCAAACCATTTCGAAGGATATAGGGTTTACAATAAATCAAATTCAATTGGTAAAAGATTGCCTGATTAATATGAGAAGTATAATTTAAATTATTATCTTTTATTATTTTATAATCCTAAAATAGATAATAACACTGAATTTTTGGATGTCTTTTCAAAGGCCCAAGATTTTATGAAGAAGAGAAATTTACCTTTTGATTTTGAAAGTTCAAGACTTCAAACATTACAATCCAAAAAGGAGAGATATATATATATATACTTTCATCATTAAATATAATATTTTATTTTAGCTTTAAAATCAGTGTGTTTTATGCTGCACTTGATTTAATTATTATGCAGTTTAGTGAAAGATTTAACGATGAATCGATAAAATTTTTGAGTCAAACATCATTTTTTACCCCAAAGGGAATGGCGAAAAAGGCAATTGTTAAAGATGATATCAAGGATATATGTGAATTTTATAAATTAAATACAAGTCAAGTTTTTGAGGAAATGTTGATGTTTAGAAATATTTATAAAATGGCTAAAACGGGGGACGTAATTATTACTCGTGACCTAGAGGTTAAAGAAGATTTGTCAGATTCTGAGAATTGTAAATTTATTTAATTAAAATATTTTTACTAATACATTATTTAGCTTCTTCTGATGATGATAATAATTCTGAGATGAATGATTCAGACTGGAGAAACTATTCATTTATTTTACCTTATAGTCTGCTTATAAATTTTTCTGCTTTCCCAAATTTAACAATTTTATATAAATATTTATTAACTATTCCTACTACATCATGTACTGCCGAAAGGGTCATGAGTAAAATTAAACTAATTAAAACAAGACTTCGTAGTGTCATGAAAGATCCATTTCTTAATAATTTAACCATTTTATCAATGGAAAATAATTTATTTAAACAATTAAATATTGATGAAATTATAAATTCTTTTGCTTTCTCTTCCCCTAATTTATCTAAATTATTAATTTAAAAATAATATTTTTAAAGCATATATTTTTTACATTATATTTATATTATAATAAATATTGAAAATTATTTTTGAAATTTATTGGTGTCAAAAAACAATTTACAATGGGGGGGGGGGGGTACTTTAGGGGGGTATTCTGCTTCTATCCCTCAAAAAGTGTAGGGGTCACTGGCAATAGTTTCGGAATTAGTATTTCTAAAAACTTGCCTCAAATCACATTTAAGGCTTGAGTCTAATTTTCATTTTGTTAATAACTCGACTTCTTTTTTGTGGTTCTCAAATTTGATTGTATTAGCTTAAAAAAAGTATTTAGTTCTTCTATATTTTTCATTCTATATCATGATGCAATTTTGTCTTGACAAAGCATCAAGTTTACTACTAGGGATGCAATCGAAAATTTTTTTTATTTTTATTTTGTCAAACCAGAAAAAATTTAAAATATATAAATAAGTCGAATTCGTCTTTGTTGTGTAAAAGGATCAAGTACTGTATTATAGAAAAATTTTTTTTTTTCAGTTAATAAACTTTATTCGGTAAAAAAATTAAAACATGAACATGAACATTTATATACACTATTGAATTAAAAATATATATTAAAAACAAAAAAATCAATATAAAAAATATAATTAAAAGAAGGGAAATTAAGAAGAAAAAAAAATTAAAAAATTATTTTAAAAAAAGAAGAAAAAAAGAGGGATATCTAATTAGGTGTGGTCCACGGGGCTTAATGACCCATGAATGGATATACAGTTTGAACGGCAGATTTCGATTGAAATCCTTTGGCGGAGGTAGAAACCTTCTTTCGGATCACCTGTGATTAATCGTAACCTTTGCCCTATTGTTTTGAATAATTTTAATGCTTGGGGTCCGAATGATCCACAGGTGTCTGAGACTACCGGAGCGAATAAAATATTATTAAGGTGGCAATATTTATTTGTTTTTGTATTCTCCGCTTTTGAGATGGAGTTGGCAGAAAAAGATCTGGCAAAACGATCAACGCAGGTATAGTCCCAAGCGAGAGGTAAACCTTGGTTCCAAGGGACTAACGTCAAACCATCCGGTCTGGTTTGATTATCGGAGCTAAGACCGGTAGGTTCCAGTGTGGAGGGAGTATTTGTTACTAGATTATAAATTTTTTAATAAGTTTTTTTCAATTGAAATCAAAAATAGATTTAAAATGTAAAAAAAATAATTTATTTACTAAAAGTTAGCAGAATATCTATAAAATTATTTTAAATTCTAAATTAATTTATTTACTTAAATTAATTTTGTGCATCAATGGTAGTGTTTATAATTAATAGGCGTCATGGCTAAGTAAGTATTTATAAATTCTTTTGCATGATAAAAAATATCCTTCACAATTTGAATATCTATAGATATGAATGGCAAAAAAATAATATGTATCTTTTTTTATATTTAACTTTTAATTTATATATATTTTTTATTATATTAGTCTTAATATTTTTATAATATATATTTATTTAAATTATATGCTCATACATATGAGATAAAATTTGCGCTTAATTTATTTTTTAGATAAAAAGCGTTAAATAAAAGTATAATGTATCTTAAAAACTAAAAAGTATCTATAAATAGATACAGCTACATCTAAAATAGATAAATATAGATACAGATATTTTTTATACAATTCCTACAATCTTAATAAATTTTCAATAATATAATTATTAAACATTAATTGATGCTTTTAAAAAAGAAAAAATATATTTAAAAAATGTAAGGAAAAAAATATAATATATATCTCTTTTACGTATTAAAAAAATAATGCATTTTTTTATTTGCTTCTCCAATTCTTATTTTTAAACGTAAAATTACAATACATTTGCATTATTTTTTCTTTATGTATTGAAAAAAATAAAAAATATTAAATTTGCTTCCCTCATATATATTTATTTAAATATAATAATAAATTTTTTAACGTAATAAAAATAATATTTATTTTTTAACGAAGTAAAAATAATAAATTTTTCTTAACATAGTAAAAATAATATTAATATTTTCAACGTTATAAAAATTATTTTAACTTTTTTTAACTAAGTCACATTAGTTTTTCCTATCATACTATAAAAATT